TTTAAATTCCAAAACCTAATAAAGGATGCTTAAGGACCCGGTCTAGTGCTCAAAGTTCAGGAGGTCTTCCGGTTGGAGCCTCTAGTTGGAAATAATAGGTAAGGCATGCGATCAAGCACGCTGAAAAGCATCTTTTGAAACAATCAGCAGGTAGAGCTAGTTTAGTCTTGTAAAAACCAGACTATACGACAACCATTGCGGATTATTTTTTCAGCCAGACTATTCTCTCGCCGATCGGATAAAAATGAGGAAATTAGTAGGAGAGTTGAAAAGCCGTCCGAGCGAGGGAGAAATACGATTAAAACAGTAGGCACTAAAAATATAAACGTAGGACGCTCGTTTTTTGACAACATCTGAGAAAATTAGTAAGAGGCCAAGGTACACTACCATATGAGATCCACTTAAATAACTTTGATCTCTATCCTTTGACGTACAGGCACTTACGCGGAGATTTGATACAAACCTTCCGTATCGTGTATGGCTTGGACTGCGCTCACATGTGTAAAGATCTATTCTAACTCGCCACTGCAACTCATCTCCTGGGGCATTCCTTCAAACTGCATGTGCCCTAAGGACGATTGGAGGTGAGGCAGTATTTATTTTTCTCTAAAAGGGGTCGTGAATCCGTGGAATAACCTACCGAAGGCGATTTTTATGTCCCAACTTTGTACTTCTGTTTCAAGCTTCACGATATCACAGTCCTGCGAAACATTATTCACACATTCAGCAACACAAATAAAAAGGACCACATCATTGTCAGACATATCCCTGTGGTGCACATCGCACCAGCGTAACTGGAAGGCGCTGGCCTGCTTGGTTCTGGCGAGGAAAAGTAAGCGGCAAACCATTAGCCGGACTCCTTTCATATCGGATTGATGTTACGATTGCTAAGTAACAGGGTACATACCTACAGCTGTTCAATATCTCTGTCTTCCCCACAATTTTTCCAATGTCCTTTTTTTTGCATAACCTCTGAAGGTGATTGTAATCCGGTGTTACAGGACAGGAGTTACGGGACATTTCATAGCATGGAACCGGCAACTACCAGGTTACATATGACATTTTTAGATGATGAATCTTTCGATATAGCCGTAACTTGTTTTTGATATGCAGGACAAAAGACAGTTACTGAAAATATTTTACGGTCACGTGCACAGTTTGTTGCATTGCTTATGAAAGCATTTACGGCAGGTAAGATTTATACAGAATTATAATTATAAGATTACTTACCCCAGTTTACAGCTTCAGCCTCTGGCTTCTAGGATTGACCTCCAGTATAGATGGCCAATTTTATCTATAATAGTTCACGCCTTCGAGATTAAAACGCCCATTTTGACTATTTAGTCCAGTTAATCGAATGGTTTGTCGTGCATATTGATGATGAGGAGGAAACTGCTCTTGAATATATATTTCTTAATCAACTTCTTTTATTAACCATTACGCAATAGTGAAATACGGTTTGCAGGTTTCACGGTTAACATGATGACCATTGCAGCCTCAGGAATCAAGTTTAACTAGGACAGTGAGCTACCAATACGGCCGGACAGGATAGTTAAAATGATGTTGGCAAACTATTAAAAAGCTATGCTTTTCATTAATGACATAAAACTTATATTGGCTATGCAACTTAAGTCGCTAAATAACAAACTTTATTTATTGCCAGCTTAGAGGCAATACTTACTTAACACATACCGTTCATATGCACAGGAAAGCACTGTTAGAACATACCAATGCTTCGCTTACACATACAGATAAAATACCTACCTGCTAATCGACATTTTCATGTACGATCCTCAGGATGGCTATGCGTAAATGTCACTGCTAAAAATGTGTACATAGGAATATTCGACTCAAGGTTTCATAGTAACATATTCATTTTATGTATTTTATGTTGGCTATATTTGCATATAGTTTTTAATATGATCTTCAAGAGTATTGCCTACTACCCTTAATACAGTGAACTATACTGAACTATCAAAAGTAATATACAATAGGGGTCGGATTGGGAAAAAACGATGCCTGGTAGCAAATCCAACTGGATATACCCATGGAATTGTACGCGAAAATTCGCTCGACCGATGCCGTATTCATACACGATGTTGTCCCCTTGGGCGCGCTGGATTCCGCCGCGAAAAATCACGGAGGTTTGCGCAGCGAAATGCCGTGACATGGCGCTGTTATAACGTAGTTTCTTTTACACACTCTCGAAAGAAGCCCAAAGCCATTTATTGTTTAGGAAAAGTGTTTATCAAAAATTGACTTACAATTATCTATATAGCAAATCTTTCGGCCGCGTTTGTTTGGCTTTACCTCTGCACCGAAGGGCCT